CAAGAAAAGGAATAACAGAAGAGAGAGAGAGAATGCAAGAAAAGAAGAGAGATAGAAAACATTAAGTGACAAGAAATACAAATCTCTCATTTCACAGTTGAGCAGCCGCGCCCAAGAAGAAGACAACATGTTACCTTGCCTGAAGCTGCTCCTGATGATGATGACTCAACCTGGGTTGGTGCTCCAGTCACTAACATGATTGAACCTGAAGAACGGGATCAAGATGAGGATAACTTAAATACCAAGGTATTTAAATAACTACTTGAATAACTCGTCCAGAACTTTTTTATATAACCTAAAGTGTAGTTTTCACTAGTGACGGAATCGGAATTGGAGTCGGAATTGCTATCGATTCAGAAGCAGAATCGGAAGGGTCGAAAAAATTCTTTTTACTTGGATTTTGCTAAAAAAAAATAAAAATGATATTTAAGAAAATGTATTAAAAAAAAAAGATTTTAATAATAAAATATGTTMTTATATAGTGCATTATAGATTCTCAATGCGCTTTACAAATATTACGATGAAATGTCAAGTGAAAAAATAGATTAAAGTTACAAATTGAACRAAAATGTTTTTAGTTTTCTCTTGAATATTTCCAAAGACTGCGATGTTTTTATATCTGGTGGTAAACGGTTCCATAGTCTGGGCGCTGCTACGGCAAAGCTACGCGCACCATATGACTTAGTACGATATGGAGGTTGTTTTAAAATTACTCCTTGTGTGGCACTCCTTAGCTTAAGAGTAGGTTGATGTATTTTGAGAATATCACTTATATACACTTATAGCCACTTGCAGTGGCTTTTCTACAAAGTGGCTCTTCATCCACTGAAATTCCAGTTGGAATTTTAGAAGTTGATTTTTGTGGAGGGAGGAAAACCGGAGAACCCGGAAAACCCTCGAAGCACATGAGAGAACTGTGCCGTGGTGAAACGGACCTCCATAGCAGAACTGACACATGACGTAGACGAAATAAAATGGCCAATCAAAACACTCGATAGAATACATGAAAAATGGCTTCAAATATCTGTGTGGCAGAACCGACCTGAACAGATAAGCCCGTCAGGGAGGTAGTGTAAATTTATTTGTGTTTTTTGGTTTCGTTATACTTTACATATTGCCGTTCAAAGTCRCCAATTGCTTGAAGTCTGTAGATCTCTGTAGATATATAAACTTCGTAAAAAATACTCGAGACAAATTGAAACCTTCTACTTAAAAGAACTAAAAAATATATAGGTAATAACTGTATTGTTTGCTTACGACCTTAGATTTACTCTATAATGTCTGAGGTATGTTGAAGAGAGCGAATATAGAGCGAAGACTCAAAAGACTCCAAATAAAATATACGAAGTGTCTGAAATGTCCGCAGCCGGTCACATAACTCATAATGCTAAGTGAGCAGCAGTTCGAATTTATTTTTATAAAAATCAAGGTTACGTTATATAAACTAAAATCCAAACCTAATATTCCTATCTCGATATAAAAGCATACTATATTTAAGCTCCTTTTCATGGCAGTAAGATATTTTTGATCGTAGGGTAATCAACTGCCGGTCACGTAACTCAAAACACTAAATTGCCGGCAGTCCGAAACGGTTCTTTATCGAGATAGGAACATTGGATTTGGATTTTAGTTTATATAACCTTGATTTTTATTCAAAATATTCGTCTGCCTGCCATTTAGCTTAATAATATATTTTGAGTTATGTGAGCTCTGTTATTAAAGAGTGTGATAACATGATAAAAAGAAAGTGTTCGCTGCATAATGTTTTTATAGTAAACCATTATTCGTGTAGGATACATTAGGATCCATTGTATAATACTACTAGGATGAGTTTATGAAAAGTTTCGGACTGCCGGCTATTTAGCATTTTGAGTTATGTGACCGGCTGCGGACATTTAGACACTCCGCAAAATATAATAGTTAAAGTATTATTTGCATTCTGATTGGCGGATAAAAGCACGTCTTCTATTGGCTAAGAGCTATTAGGTCAGTTCTGCCATGGAAGTCCGTTTCGCCACGCTACAAGAACTAACAAACACTCTACTCACATACGACACCGAGCCCGGCGGGACTTGAACTCGCAACGCCACCCGCGCTTCACACAAGATTACTTTAATGACGAACGGTTTTTACCAGAATTTTTTTTGCATAAACTGCTTTCGACTCTGATTCCGAATGCGATTCCATCGCAAGTGAAAACTAGGCCTAAGAAGCCATGTAGCTATCGTACAATTGAGGTCAAAGACTTGGCGGCAATGTTGTTGACAAAAACAACAAAAACCTTTTGATAGGAAACACGAAAAATGTCGGGATGACGTCCGTGATAACTCCATGAAAACTGCAAATGTAGTTTTGACATTATAATGATAGATTCACTAGAGACCGATGATCGTACATATAACAGATTTTACACGAGAGGAGATTTTACACCTTTTAAAATTAATACTCCTTAACTCCTGGAATGAATCCAAAGTAATCTTCTACGAACCCTGTAGAGTACTTTTATAGAATTTGGTACAACTCCTATCCATGTGACTTGAAATATTTACACCTGATACTTTTTTCTATTTTTGTTTTTAGTCCCACGAATGGACAGACGAAGATTTCTCACGCCTTTCTAGAGCGATGGTAAAGTTTCCGGGAGCAACACCAAAGCGATGGGTGAAGATTGCGCAAGAACTGGGAATGACTGTAGAGATGGTAAGATCATTGATGCTGACCACATCGAACGTTTTGCAGATGATTTCGCGCCTAGGCGCTTAGACTTTCGCAAAGTCCGCATTAACACAGGAAGCCCAACCAGGATCACACGTGCTGGACTAAAAACGTTTCCAACTTGTTTCCCGACAATTTTAGCGACCCCCAAAGAAAATACACGCCATTATTGGCGCAGAATGCAAATTAAAATTCAGTAAGAGGAACAAATCGCCCTTTCGCGACATCGACACTCGTTTTTCCCCCACTTGCTTCGCTCGTGACAAACCTACTAGGCGCTAAAAAGTTGCCACTCAAAATACACTTTATTTATGACTTACGAAATTAAACGGTGCACCGGTACTGACAAACAAACGATGGAAGTTTTTTCAAAGTAAAAAAAGACATTGTCTAGTGGTAGTGCACATCTCTGACTTCTTGGGTCTCTGGTTCGATTCCTGAACTCAGCATCGGAGTTCGTTAACTTTTTCTCTTACAGGTAACGAAACAGTTGAAAAAGATTAGACAGCATCAGGGCGTTTCTACTGGCGACACCGGAAAATCCGGTAAGGTTGCTTTTGTCAATTCTATCGTTATAAATGGACGCGTGAGGCAGGAGTGGGGCCTAAAGTTAAACAAAATTAACAAATAAAGACCTAACGCTCAAAGCCCAACTGAGCTATCAATCATACACGATTTGCGGGGCAAAGTGGACGAATCCCAAAAGCGACGTTTTTATCTAGTGCAGTTTTACTATCTGCTACAATTCGATTGCCGTTTTAATTTAAGTTTCAAGGACGAGCCCCCTCCCCCAGGGACTTTTGACTCATAACCAATCTTCCTCGGGCAATCGACACAGACAGACAGACGGACAGTGACCAAGGGAAATAGAGGGACAGCTCGCAGTCTAATTTAAGTTCTTGTTTCAGAGTTACTGGTGTTCCCAAAATCAGTAAAAGGTTTACAACCATTTAATTCAATAAAGGGATAGAACGAATCCATTTAATTGTCTATTCAGGGATTTCATATTGCTTGTCAAATATGGCTGATCTAGTTTATTCTAATGTAGTTAGCCAAGGAGCCCCTGGAAAACTGATCACGAGCAGAAAAGCAGCAACGATAGCCGAGGATGTGGCAACTAAAGCGTACCCAGATAATCCCGTCATACAGAGCACCGTCCAAAACGTGGATCAAAAGAGTTCTGCTCCTGCGAACGAGTCAAGCGCGGAAAAGCCAGATAAAGTAAGTGGCACAGTGATGTGGACACAGAATCAACAAAAGCTTTTAGAGATGGCCTTGCAGCAGTTTCCTAAGACTACCCCTGATAGGTGGACGTGGATTGCTCGTAATGTGCCTGGCATGTCAAAGGTAATCGTGTTTAACGTATTTTCGTCACGTTTTCTTAAGTATTTTTTTTGCAGACCTGGAGGATCCTGACTTTCGGAAAAGGGGTGGGGTGGGTTGTGGGGAGGAGCACACAAATCCAGCTTCAATGGGAGATGCTGTAAAGGAATGTCCAAAGAGCGTGAGTGACGTGCGGCGGCGTGCGGCGTGCGCCCCGCTTGTATGAATGGGAATTTATAATCGATGCATACAAATGATTTAATCCTTTGTCGTTGTTTACATTGTTATTTTTATTTGTTTTCTGCAGGAAGATTGCATAGCTCGATACAAGACTTTGGTTGAACTCATGAGGCAGAAAAAGGGTGCAAGCTAAAAATTTAGATGACTAAATTATTTATTAATCTATTATTAGATAAATTAGAAAAAATCTTTATCTTGTGGTTAGGACTATATTGAGTGGGAATAGCTTCGTTGTTTGTACACAGGCTGTCCAGGCTATTATCCTGTGGCTTAAAAGACAGTGATATTTTTTACAGATTTTACAATGTCCTCTTTTAGCTTTAATAAAGCTTAATAAATGTTTACAAACCTTTATGTATCCACTGCGAGCTGGGAGTTGATATCAATCCTATTTATGCCGTAATTAAATTTGTAAAATTTGTAAAAAATATAACTGTCTTTTAAGCCACAGGATAAAAGCCTGGGCAGCCTGTGGTTTGTGTTGTGCACATTTCAGACCACTCTTGAGAGTCGATTGTTTCATGTGTAAATGTTTTAACACGTTCGTCATAAAAGAACAATTCTCAAGCAAATGTCATTTGATCTTAAATTGGCAATTTGTATACGAAGCTAAAAAGGTCTATTCAAAATTCCCTTGGTGCTGTTGTACGCAAACATTTCTCGTTCAACTTGGCTCTCGAAAAAAAGAAAACTAACGGGTCACATGACTCTGGTCCCTAAATCGAGCAGTTGTGTCAAAATGAGCACCAAAAATGAAAAGAGCACCTGGATATTAGTAAAAGAGTGCATTTTCCCATTCAAACCCTTATAAAATATTAGTTTTTATATTTAATGTCGTTTCTCCTGTGACACTTAGTAGCGTTTTTGTGCGTGTAACATACGTCCGCGCATCTTGCTTTTTTGAAGGTTTTGCATAGTTGCAAGGTGAGTCTGCCGCCTACTTTCTGCTACTTACAACAAATTGAGACGCGTTGCTTCGGAATTTACTCGCTATTTTACAGCTATTTTAARAAAGGTTGGTGAAAGTTGCATTATGCTTACTAAGATTGAAACGTATTATATTCATATGTAAATATCAGAAAAATTACTACCGCAGAAACGTGCAGAAAAAATTTGAAAAAGTTCCACATTATGATCTTTTGACCTGATCGCATCCACATTGACCATAGTGCCGTTCGGGCTTGGTATGCAACATGCGACAAATGCTTCACCGACCTTTTTTAAATAGCTGTAACATAGTCTAGTACCATCTGCAGCAGTATTCACGCGAGACAATTTGGACGACAAATGGCATGGTCTTTGCGTGTAACAGCACCTTTAAGCAAATCTTAATATAATGATTTTATTTGGCCCTTTGTTGTTTAAATATTGAATAATATTCGAACAGTGTCCTGAAGGGAGCTGGGATACGCCCCTTTTGGGCTGGGAAACTGGAATTTTATGCACTGGGAATGGGATTCACAGACAAAAATATATATCAAAAAGTGGTAATGGATTGAGATTTGAACAGTCTGGGACTACTATGGGATTTGGTCAAAATGGGGGCTGGAAATGGGGTTAGGAACCCCCCTTCCCTCTTCAGGACTCTCTTCGAAGTAAAACGATTTCACGGTAGCCAAGTAAAAATACTCTAGATATATCTTCATAAATAAAGATTAGATGAATTTTATATAAATATAATATGAATAATAAGAGAATAACTTTCTAATATATACAGATGACTTTCCTTAATAGACCTCCTCGGCTTTTATTCCCTTGAGATTAAGATTCTATGTTTGAGTTGTATCSATATTCATGTGTCTTCTCATGTGCAACCGAGCGCAAGCGTTAAACAAAGAAATGATACTCTAGGGAATGACTCGTGGTCTGAAATGGGAAAACATTACGCCCGAGCCGAGGAGGTCTATTCTTACAAAAGTAAACGTCTGCATTGGTAAAGTTTTTCAGTATATTATAAAATTGTACATATTTTGCATGCAATGAATGAGCAGTATATGAATCTGAACCTTTGCTCCACTATAATAATAAATGTTTTTATATAGCGCTTCCCGTGACTCGAAGCGCTTTACAGAAAGAAAAAAAATATGATGTAATAAACAATGTTCAGTAATTAAATAGGAATGTTTTTCAGTTTCTGTTTAAATTTTTGTAGAGATTCAGTGTTTCTTAGGTCAGATGGAAGTGAGTTCCAGAGGGTTGCTGAAGAAACAGAAAAAGAACGAGCACCATATGTTTCTGTTCTGTAGCTAGGTTTCGAGAGAGCAAGAGTAGGACTGTGGACTTTGACAAGTTCAGTAATGTAGGAGGGAGCCAGACCGTGAAGTGAATTAAAAGTGAGTACTAAGATTTTGAAGGAAATTCTCCTCTTAACAGGAAGCCATTGTAGATGGTGAGGTATAGGTGTGATGTGGTCGAACTTCTTGCACTTAGTAGTTAAACGAGCAGCAGAAATAAGTATGCGCTGGACTTTATCGATGGTATTTAAAGGGAGACCAAACAAGAGACTGTTGCAATGGTCAAGTTTCGAGGTTACGTAAGCGTGGACGAGTTTCTTCGTCGTATTTTCATCAAGGTAACTCCTTATTTTACCAATGTTACGAAGTGCTAGTGAGGCTGCTGATCTGCAAATATTGTTGACGTGAGGAATCATACTCGGGTGATGGTCTAGGAGTATTCCAAGGTCGCAGACCTCAGCTGGAGTTAACATGAAAGTTACTAACAGGGTTTGTGTCCACGAACTTTGAAGAGAAATGCATCACTTTTGTCTTTTTAGCGTTACAGGCAAGAAAATTGTTGGTATACCAAGCCGACACACCTTTACGCACCTTTCCATGGTAGCGGTAGCTTGTAGCTTATCTTTATTACTCTCCATGATTATATAGATCTGACTGTCATCTGCGGTACATTATCAGGTCAAGTCCACAAGAGACTACGATATCTTCAATCGGGGCAGTATATAAAGTAAACAATTACTGGTCCCATCACAGATCCTTGAGGGACACCGAACTTAACGCTGCAATAGGTTGACAAAACGTTATTAATAAACTATAATGATAAACGATTAAGATTTACTTTTGGTATTATCCACGAGGGGATTCAGGTTGAGGCTGAACCCAGCCACCCCGTAACCCGACCCCTATAACCCAGGGAATGCGGAGCGTAATTTTGATTGGGGGGGCTAGCGACCCACCAAAACGTTTGAAACTGAGACCCTTGCAACTGCGATTTCTAGTGTTTTAAGGTGCATTTACAACATATTTATGGCATTGGGTATTGATATTTCCAATACCAAACAAGTAATTCAAAATATGACGGTATATATCGATATAAATAAGGTAGTACAATAATGTATTCTTTTTTTGCCTCCAATGTATTCTGAAATCCATCTGCTAGTAAGATAAAAGCACTTCCCATCAAATCGAAGAGATAAGTTTTGAGATATCCAGTGTTTTTGTAGTTGACGAAACAAGGACCACGGACCACCCTAAAAAGTGGGGGGTGGGGCCTAAGATTAACTACTCTTTGAAATAAAATTATTTGAGTCACAGCGCCATTTTATAGACCTCCTCGGCTTGTACGTAATGTCCCATTTCAGACCACGTGTCATTACCTTGAGAATATTCTTTGTTTGAGTTGTATCCATATTCATGTGTCTTCTCATGTGCAACCGAGCGCAACCGTTAAACAAATAAAGGATACTCTAGGGAATGACACGTGKTCTGAAATGGGACAACATTAAGTCCGAGCCGAGGTCTATTTTTACCAGATACGACATAATACTCAATGGGGTGACATGTGGTTTGAATGGGGAAACACGAAAATATTCGGACTTCTTGTAGTCTCCACCAGAGCCGTTTCAAGTGTCGTCACACACGCACGCAACGTTGCGTGACGACACTACGAACGGCCGTGGGGGAGACTAGACTTCTTGAAAACCAACCACAAGGTTCATGCAAGTGTTCTCAGCCGTACCTTCAGGACTTTTTAACGAGTATTTAAGGCATGTGACAGTTTTCAACGAATACAAACGATTTAACAAGTGATATTTTGCCATGTTACTTCATCATATTCGTGGCTGATATATTCGTTTACAATCATTACTGCAGTTTTCAAGGAATAATATAAGGGAATGTCAAGTGCTCTTAATAATGGATTTACAATTACAGCACTTTTCATGAAATTTAAGGAGTAGCACGAACCCTGCATCCAGATTACATCGTTCATTCACTGTCATATAGTGCCACTTCTTAAAAGCCCTACGATTCTGAATATCTGTCCAATAAAATATGCTTTGACGTAACCATGTCTTGAGAAGTAAGTATACTATACGTAAGAATGACTGCATTGTTTACTAGACGCGATCAATAGAAATATTTCAAGTATTTGAAATAAAAAAGTAAAAAGGATTGAGTTGATAACATGCCGACGGACAACGCAGCTTGAAACCCTAAGTACGATATCTTAGAAATATGACGTAAGAGTACGAGAAGTTTGGTGTAGTAGTTTACATGTATGTGGCAAGTCTAGCGGCCCCACGAAAACGGTGATAATTTTTGGCTAAATGTATATTATAAATACATAAGTCAGCGGGCAAGAAATCATCACCCATGATTCATGTCATTAACTGACAACTAGCTGACAACTAATTTACTAGGGCTTGCTATAGATGCTCTATAGACCCCTTTACCTTGGGCGTAATGCTTTCCCATTTCAGGATGAGATTCTTTGTTTGAGTTGAATCCATATTAATGTGTCTTCTCATACGCAACCATTAAACTAAGAAATGATTCAATGACACGTGGTCTGAAATGGGAAAACATTACGCCATAGGTAAAGAGGTCTTCGGATGTGATTTTAAAAACCAACCACGCCCTATTTCTATTGTTTGATGTCGGGTTTGAATGTCGATGGAAAACCTGTCCCGGGTTTTGAATTCAGCATTGGTACTAACAGGGGAGAGCGGGGCTGAATTCAAAACCCGGGACAGGTTTTCCATCGACATTCAAACCCGACATCAAGCATTAACATTAGGGCTTGGTTGTTTTTTAAATCAGTCAAAGCGCACGTGCTCGGATTTGCATTGAAATTCAAGACCGAGCTCCTGCGGCCCTCGGTCTTGAAATTACATGCGAACCCTTGCCATAGCGTTTTAACCTTTATATAAAAACTGTCAGTGAGTATAAGAAAATCGCTCAAAAAACATCAGGAACCGATTCCGGGCACCCTGAGAATAAAAAGGGCTACAGCGAGCGATACTGTAGTCACTGTTGACAAAAACGTTGTTGAGCCTAAGTGGATCTCAATCTGCAGTCTCATTGGTTTCTTCCTTGCTTGGCCAGTAGTCGTCTTGTGAAGGTCTTCTCGTTATTAGAGGTTTGCTCACACAGCTCGTAGAAGCGATGTAAACTTCAATATTTATACTAAACAAATGGCCTTGCAATTTTGTATAATCCTATTACTTGTTCTCCACGAACTATGCCCACTCTTTCCTATGGCAAAACCTTGTAAAGCCGAGTTGAACACAGATGCTGCGAAATTCATTGAACTCCATGGACAAACATTTTGTGTAACAGCTTATGGCCTCGTATAGAACGACTACGTGGTCATCGAGTGATGTCTTCACTTTCCTATGTTAAAAAAAACCTAGTAAGGCCGAGTTCAGCAAAGATGCTTCAA